CCACCCCCACCATTGCTGCAGGCTAAGAACATCGTTACAGACTGGGTTATTAAAGTCGATCTGAAAGAGCAATGTGTTCTAAGCGACTGTCCCTGGATCTGCAACGGAACCCTGTAAATACCCTTCATTACTCGGGCTGGGCTGTATCACATTTCCTCCAGGCTACTTTTGTGACCGACACAAGTCAGGCTGTGAGAGCTGGGCTTTAGATGATCCTAGTTGATTGATATGGGGATGGCACCTCTCCTGATGCAGGTAAGGGCGACTTTCCTGTATAGAATCATGTTCATAAACGGGTGTTCTGTTTAGCTTTGAGAAAGAATTGTTAAGGCCTGGAGAGATGGCTCAGCGGTTAAGAGAAAGAATTGTTTAAAAGCTCTTATAACTAAATGAGTTTGGAATTGATGATTTTTAGATTTTTTTCCATTCAGGTTAATGCTTTTAGGGTGAAAAAGAAACTTCTTAAGAATTTTATCATATTTCTCAATTATATCAGAGGGTTGCACAGAAGTTTATGCTCCACCACTTAGCTTTTGTTTGAAATGGTCAAGAACTTGTCTCTAGGGTGAATATTGTTTCCATTACAAAAAAACCTAGAAGATGAATTTATATCATTGATCTTTAAATATGATGCCAGAGGGGAAAACTTAGTATAAAATTATCAACTGTCAGTCAAAGTTATTAAAGCTTTGGTATGTGGAGGCAGTTCCTTTTAGACAATAGAGTTTATGGCAATATAGAAAACAGTAACTCAAAATGGTATATGACTCTCCTAGTACGGAGACTCACGTCTCTCCTCCAAGTGAAGACAGATTCCTTGGCATCCCTGTGGCTCATCTCAGTGTGCCTAAGCTGTGTTAAAGGAACAGCTGAAAGTAAGCTGAGAATCAGCTCAAAACACAGTAACATAGGTAGCTGGGCTGCTCTGCTTTGTGAGGAAGGCTTAAGACACGTAACTTACGTTTGCTCGTCACTAGTAAATTAATCTATGACCATGTTAGGTTTTTAAACGCTTTAAGAATCTTTCTCCACATCAACAAACTCTGGTTAAAAAAACAACAACAACAAAAATAAAACCTAAGAGGTTTGTGGTGTAATATTTGCTTAATTATTACTGATAGGCAAGGAAAGGACTAAGACAAAAATGAGATAGTATAAGCAAAACACTCATCTCATAATTGCTGAATAATACCTAGATACCTAATACTTAGCTTTTTTAAAGGGCCTAAAAATGGGTACAGTATTTGTTTTTGAAAATGTCAAAGAGAGAGAGCAGAGATTCTTGGTTTCTTCTGTAATTCTCTTATATTTTGAACAGATTCTAATATTTGATATGTATTCCTAGTTTCGCTGTCTTACCGATGCTGGTCCATCTTTGAGTGTGGGACTCCTCCCAACTCAGTATTTTATGCATAGACAAAGGGTAAGATACAGGCCTGTCACGGCAGTTTTCAGGGACGTTAACATGTTCAGTACAGTTCGTATAAACATTTCCCCTCGGGAGACCAATTTGTGGTACACTTTTTAGCTCCTCAATATAGAAGTTCCACTTTTCCTTGTCTGCACCTAAGGCCCAGCCACACGGGTACTGACTGATTATGGCTTAAGATTTAGTCGGGATGGTGGAGGAAGGTCTTCATTTCTTTTGATGATGCTGAGGATTGAGCCCAGGGCCCTGTGAATGCTGGGTAAGTGCTGTGACGTTAAGCTGCACAGCTCACCCCAAACCCACTTGGCTGTTGTTGCTTTTCAAGAGAGGGTCTCTCTCGGTACTCCAGTCACCCAAGCTGGCCTTGAATTCACAGCAATCCTCTAAGAGGGGTTGTGGTGGCACACGCCTTTAATCCCAGCACTCAGGAGGCAGAGGCAGGTGGATCTCTGTGAGTTCGAGGCCAGCCTCGTCTACAGAGCGAGTTCCAGGAGAGCCAGGGCTACACAAAGAAACCCTGTCTCAAAAACAAAACTCACCAAACAAACAAACAAACAAATAAAAGAATGTATTACTACACATAGCAACATCCTCTTTTTAAATAAAAAGAAATGGCTGGAGCATCCACATAAATAGAAAATGTAGAAACAAAATTGGGTAGTCTTTTCTTTTTTAAAATGTAACCCAGGCTAGCCTTCAATTTATAATCCTCCTGCCTCAGCCTCGGGAGTGGTAGGATTACATGTGTGTGCCACCATGGCAGGACAGAGTTAAATAGTCTTGATGGTCAGTGACCGATTGGGAAGGACAATAGATAAATGTGATATGGAAGTGGAGTGGGAATCTCTGGGGATGGAAGGGTATAGGCAGGGATGGGGTAGCAGAAAGATGGGGGAGAGGAGCAGGGTGAAGGAGAGGACCAACCAAAGTTAAGTGGGGAGTAAAATGCCATGCAGAAATCTGTTCCTTTATATGCCAACTTTTGAATTTCCACTAGACATTTCTAAAAGCAATCTAGCCAGATAACTCGGCTCCTTCTGTGTTCCTTTCTCTCTTTAATAATAGTTCTTTTCCCCCCCCATAAGACCTGGTTAAAAAAAGATACAGCGACACCTCTGACGTGACCACAATAAACAAATTTCGTCTCTATCCAGTGTGCCACAGAAAGTCTCAAGATGGCTGAAGAGAGTGAAGATCTCTTAGTAAGTTCCACGAGGACAGGAAGATGTGTGCATTTTGCACACTTCTTTATGCATACTGGACAACACAGGACACATGATGAGAATTAAATAATATTTATTGAATGGATGGATATAAGGAAACTTGTAAACAGTTGTGTGATTTAACAATAGAACTAACATTTTAACTCATCTATTTCATGTCACAAGATTTGAAAACAATCCTTGAGAAAATAATTCCTGCCTTTAATCCCAGCACTCGGGAGGCAGAGGCAGGTGGCTCTCTGAGTTCAAGGTCAGCCTGGTCTACACCATGAGTTCCAGGACAGCCAGGGCTACACAGAGGGGGAAAAAGAGGGGGCGGGGGGAGAAGGGAAGGAAGGAAGGAAGAAAAATTCCTGGCATTCAAGACTGAATTTCAGAATGTAATCTTCTGACCAGACAGTAGTATTAAGCCACCACTTAATCTGTACTAATGGAGCTAATGTTTTTCAAGACTCATATTCTAAAAGTACATGGAATTAACAACAAAGAACTTATACTTTTTTTTTTTTCTCAAGACAGGGTTTCTCTGTTTAGTCCTTGCTGTCCTGGAACTCACTCTGTAGACCAGGCTGGCCTTGAACTCAGAGATCCACCTGCCTCTGCCTCCTGAGTGCTGGAATTAAAGGAACGTACCACCACTGCCTGGCCAGAACCTATACTTTTACAGGATTGCTATCTGAGCAGATGTGATCAGGTTAAGGATTTTTTCTCTTTTTTTTTTTACTGATTGGTAATGCTTATTAAAGAAGACAACTAGCATTGTTTTGTTTTTTTCTCAAAGTAATATACAAGAAGTTATCCCTGGGTGCTAATAGTAAGAACTGTATTGTGTTGTGCCAGTAGTCATTTTCACTTGTATGTGTGCGTGTGTGTGTGTGTGTGTGTGTGTGTGTGTGTGTGTGTGTGTGTGCATGTGAGTACAGTACTGGAGGAAGGCAGAGGCATCTCCTTAGAGTTGGTGTTACAGGCAGTTGTGAGCTTCCTGACCTGGGTTCTAGGAACCAAATTTAGGTCTTCGATAAGAGCAGTCAGTGCTCTCAACTATGAACCATCTTTCTAGTTCCCTTTTTTAAAAGAACATTTTTTAAATGTCAAAGTTACATTTATCTCTGTGTGTACGTGTGTATGTGTGTGTATACACACACAAAAATTCTTTTTCTTTTCACCGTTGGGTCCCAGGTCATCAGTTTGGTGGCAAAAAGCCTTACCCACTGAGCCATCTTGCCAACCCTCATTTTAACTTTTAAGCTTATCCAATTCGTGGGGTTTTGTTTATTTATTTATTTATTTTATTTTCTTCTTTTGGTTTTTTGAGACAGGGTTTCTCTGTGTAGCTTTGGAGCCTATCCCAGAACTCACTCTGTAGCCCAGGCTGGCCTCAAACTCACAGAGATCTGCCTGGCTCTGCCTCCCAAGTGCTGGGATAAAAGGCGTGCACCACCACTGCCTGGTGGTTTTTTTAATTAATTAATTAATAATTAATTAATTAATTTTTACAGGGTCTTACTATGTAGCCTTGGCAAGCCTGGAACTTGGTAGGTAGACCAGGCTAGCCTGTTACTCAAGAAATCCACTTCCCTCTGCCTCCTGAGTGCTAAGACTAAAGGCGTGTGCCACCACATCTGACCTAATTTGTCGTTTGTGAAGACGGTCGTTCATATGTATTTGTTCTCAAGTTAATGGAGTTTTCCTCTGTTTCTTTGTCTGTGCTTTGGAATTAGCTCCCTGTAGACAGACAGTTTTAAAAAGCTCTTGGCTTCAAGTTATTAATTTCAGCTCTGTATTTCCTGTCCACAGACAGATTTTCTCACTATCTTAGTAGTAAAATGGGAGTAAGTTTTCCGTTGATTGAAATGAAAGACACCAGACCAATGAGACGGCTCAGAGGGTAAAGGGGCTGCTGAGAAGTGTGACAATCTGAATTTGATCCCTGTGTCCCACATGGTGGAAGACGACAGCGAGCCCCTGAAAGCTGTCCCTTTATCTCCACTTGCACACAACGGGGCACCCGAGTGCACCCCCACACACACAAACTCACAAAGATAAATTATCTATTTTTTAAAAGCTAATAATAGTAAAAATGACAAATTCTGATACGCTTTTAAAGTAATGCCATTTTCTTTGATGGGTGGAGTGCGATATAGTTCATTTACTATTAATTCAAAATATCAATTCATAAACACCTTGGGCTTCCAGCTGTAAATGAAATTCCGTAGGTAGAAAAATACCACTGACCCCAGCTCCCGTAGGTGCTGTCCCGCAATGGAATCCCTTTGCTCAGTTTTCTCCTGTCCAATCAGGTGGAATGTTTCACAGGCACATGGTTTATACAGCTCAAAATAACTTGGGACCTGTGAGCCGACAAATGCTCTTGGCCGCGGTGGTGACAGGTTGCCCGGCTTCCAACAGCCATCTTCACCGAAACTAAGGTTAACTCGGCGTTCTCTATGGACGGCTACTCTCTCCTTCCAAGGGCGTGAAGAATTTCCCCTTCCTCCCATGTTTTCGTCGAAAACTTCTCCTTGGATAATTGACATCTCAGAAGAAGCCTGCGTGGGTCGGACATCCTCATCTGGGTCACCTAAAAAAAGAAAGGTAATATTCAGACTGAGGCTCGCAAAGTGTGTTCCGATAGTGGGTTGCTGACGGTGGGGAAAGGGGTATTTCAGGGAGCTAATTACCGTTCCTTAGAGTGAAAGCTAGGGTAACTTTCTAATTACGTATGATGAGGTACACAATTAAATGGAAAATAAGGCTTTCTCTTCCAAAGCTTTTGGAATGGGGGATGAGACTCGCGGAGATGGTATCCTCCTTGAGTCCGTCTGAGTTCTAAGGAAAAGTACTCTGACAGAGGAAGCCGTGACAAATATTACTGACATCTGCATACTCATCAGTTCTACTAACGTAGTTTCTAGGGCGAATATGTGTGCAATGCCTATTTCCCTCTTAAAGGAAATTAAATCTAAAATAATGTGACTCCATGGGTGAAGACTTTCATTTAAAACTTTTTTTTTTTTTTATCCTGTAAAAGGATCTGCTTGCTATATTTAGTGTTGGGAGATCTGCTCTCTGGATTAATGTACATAACAGCTGCAGAAAGCCTGCTCAGGAACACCTCTCTCTCTCTCTCTCTCTCTCTCTCTCTCTCTCTCTCTCTCTCTCTCTCTCTCTCTCTCCTCTTTCTCCTCTCTTTTTACTTATCTTTCCTCTGTCTCTCTCTCCTCTCTCTCTCCTTTCTTTCTCTCTCTCTTCTCTCTTCTCTCTTCCTCTCTCTCTTTCTCCTCTCTCTCTCTCTCTCTCTCTCTCTCTCTCTCTCTCTCTCTCTCTCTCTCTCTCTCTCAGATACTTGACAGTCACTGGCAAATGTTTGGCCCAGCACACTGTACTCTTAGCTCTTAGCAGCAATTAGATGCACATCTTGAATATTTTTAAAGCTATGCAAGCAAAGAGAAAAGGTAGATTACTCAGTGTCTCCAGTCAAAAGGAGTGAATGCTGTGAAGAAATGGTATCACCTTACCAACAAATTTTCATGGACTTAGTAAAGTTACTCCCATTACTCAATTTGAGAGAGATGGAGTAGCTGTATAGATTTTTCTCTCTCTCAAATCATTAAGGTAATTTGATCACTTTCATGTTAGTAATAATTTAATAATGAGAAAATGAATTTTATAGGCTATGAATTAAGATTTGTCATAACTTCACAATTTCTCCTTAATAACACTCTCAGATTCATTTAAAAATCTAAAGTATTTTTTCTAGGAAGTCAAGAACGTCTATGCTTATAGATACTGTCTCTGACATTCTATTTGGTAACAAGCAAAATATTTAAAACCGGGGCCACCACAGGAAACCTGAGATTCGTGGAGATTACACTGTCAGAAGTTGAGAGAGTAGGTAGACTATGAAACAAACAGTTGGACACTCTCCAAATTCTGGAATGTTGTCTTTCTCCCGCTGATACTCTGTAGCTAATGATAATTACAACTCTGTGGACCACCACCTCCTTCACTGCCTATAATTTACTGCAAATGCCCCTCACCTGTTTCTGTCACAACAGCAGAAACAATACACACACACCGGATACACACACACTGGATACACACACACTGGTACACACACACCGGGACAGCAAGGTGGTGCGATTGGTAAGTTACGTGCTGCCAACTGTCTGACCTGAGGCCGATCCCCAAGACCCGTCTCATGTAAGGAGAAAACAGACTCCCAAACGCTTTCCTCTGACCTCCACACCATGTGGTGGCACACACGCACAATATAACAACAACAACAGTATTTTTAAAAGATACCCACTCAGAACTACAATTTATGAGCACAATAAATTTAGAGAATTATTATACAAGCCAGTTTTGGAATTCATTGAGATAGCTTTTACAAATTAAGTTTTGAAAAGAAATGACCCAGAAAGGTTTTTTGTTTGGTTTGGTTTGATTTTAAACATAGCCTTTTCCCTTTACTTGGAGATTAAAAACTAACGAGGCACTACAGGCATGTTTCTTGTTTCATGAGTTTCTACGATTGCCCACAGGACGATTTTAAAGATTTCTAGAATGTCACACATTTGCTTCAAGGGAACAAGCTGTGTGTATGTGTGTCACGTGGTCAGAAGGTCAGAAGACAGACAGCATTAGAGCCCCTGGAACTGGAGCACTCAGGGTTAAACCTGGGTCCACTGCAAGAGCAACAAGGGCTCTTGATTTTTGTTTTTTGGTTTTTGGTTTTTTCTCGACACAGGGTTTCTCTGTGTAACAGCCCTGGCTGTCCTAGAACTCACTCTGTAGACCAGGCTGGCCTCGAATTCACAGAGATCCACCTGCTTCTGCCTCCTGAGTGCTGGGATTAAAGGCGTGTGCCACCACGCTCTTAGCCGCTAGGCCAGCTTTTCAGTTCAAGGGTGTATTTTGGATAGATAAATATTTTTGGTGCCAGTGAATGTTAGTGTGACTATACCTGTGGACACTAGAGAATTCCCAGAGCTCACACAGAACGAGTCACCTTGGCAAGCTCTGCACAGGCCGCCTGGCTCGTCGCCTTCCCCTGGAGCCTCACTGCACCCCCTCCTCAACAGAGCCTCCAGACCCCACTTCATCTAGGACTAGATCTTGAGACTGCACACTTACCTGGGGCACTTACCTCCCAACCTTGTAAACACGTTGTGCCACTTTAATTAGGGAACTTACCTTTTTTCAAAGTCTTAATTATCTGAGATACAAAGAACTGATAGAAATAGAGGTTAAAGAATGTAAGGGGGTCCTTTTTTTAATTAAAAAAAAAAGAAAGTTTCAGTTTATAAGGATTGACAGAAATTTTACATTTACGATTCCCTGTATCAGTGGTCCTTAACCTGTTGGTTATGGCTCTTTGGGGAGTCAAACAACCCTTTGACAGGGGTCTCCTAAGACCATCAGAAAACACAGGTATTTACGTTATGATTCAAAACTCTAGCAAAGTGACAGTTATGAAGTAGAAATGAGAATAATTTTATGGTTGGGGTTGCTACAACATGAGGAACTGTATTAAAGGGTCGCAGCATTAGGAGGGTTGAGGACCACTGCTCTATATACTAACTCTGTGTTTCCATACCTGTCATTGGGACTACATCAACCTCTCCATACTACATATTCTCTCTCTCTCTCTCTCTCTCTCTCTCTCTCTCTCTCTCTCTCTCTCTCTCTCTCCTCTCCCTCTCCCTCTCCCTCTCCCTCTCCCTCTCCCTCTCCCTCTCCCTCTCCCTCTCCCTCTCCCTCTCCCTCTGTCCCTCATGCTGAGGCTAAAACTCAGCACCTGTATATACTAGTTAGATGGTGTACCATGAAACTACTTCAGCCTGCAAATACCTTTCTAACCGTAGATCCCTCCCATTGGCCTTTTGACAGGCCCTGGGATTTTCTGATTATCAATTATTTGCTGTGTTCCAGATCCAGTAGTAACTGGGCTCTGGCACCAGTATCTCTTACATTATCTCTTACAGTCTCTCTTTGGTCCTCTTCTGTGTACAAAACACACATGCTGTATTGTAAAGCCAATCTCCCTTCCTTGAACATCAGTGAAATCTTTCTTTCCTACTTACTGGCCTTTATCAATTTTATGCAAGCACCGAGAGAATGGCCAGCCTGGCCTTGCCCTATGTTCTCCAAGTCCCTTCACTGTCAGACTCCGGCCTTCGGGGAGCGGTCTAAGTAAGAGACGCTCACTAATTCTCCTGTGTGTGGTCTCAGCTTTGCCTCTGTTCCAACACATTCTTTTTCATCTTTAGACAAACGAACAACTTTTTAAAACCCAGGATCTTGCTGGTCTCAAACTCACAACCCTCCTCCCTCAGCCTTCTAGGTGCTGGGATTACATGTGTGTGCCTCGGGGTTCACCCCCAACATACTCTCTTACTGCATCTGTTGTCTGGATTTATCTTTGTCTATTGTTTTTCTTCCTCCAGACTAGAAGTTCTTTAAGAGAATGAGTCATATTACTTCTGGACCTGTGGCCTTTTCCCATTTCTCATTCCCACGTCTGTCTATACTAATGCGTTAAATTACCAATGCCATTTACATTACAAATAGACTAGAAACAACACAAAGGTCAAGATGATCAATGCAGTATCGAGGGACAGGCATTGTAATGGTGCACAAAGTACGTCTCGCAGCTCAGTGTTTAAAAGATGTTCCATACACAGTTCTCCAAGCAAGGATTTCTCCCAAAAAATTCATTTATGCTGGGAAATTCTACCTGTAATCTCAACACTCAGAAAGCTAAGGCAGGAGGATTGAGAGAGGCTAGACTGAGCTACATAGGGAGATTCTGTCTTAAGGAAAAAAAAAGTGGGGCCAGTGAGATGGTTTAATAGGTAAATGTGTCTGCTGCCAAGCCTAATGACCTGAGTTCAATTCCTGAGACCTACATGGTAGGAGAGTGCCAACTCCCACAGCTTGCCCTCTGACCTCACATATAAACAATGGTATACGTGTGCATGACCTCATGTTCTCTCTCCCTTTCTCTCTCTCTCAATGAAGAAAATGTCATTTTATTTATTTATTTATTTATTTATTTATTTATTTATTTGTTTATTTATTGGCTTTTTGAGACAGGGTTTCACTGCGCAGCTTTGGATCCTTTCCTAGAACTCACTCTGTAGCCCAGGCTGGCCTCGAACTCACAGAGATCCACCTGGTTCTGCCTCCAGAGTGCTGGGATCAAAGGCATGTGCCACCCGATGCCTGGCGAAAACGTAATTTTTTTTAAAAAGCAGCACTCAAGAGGTAGAGGCAGGAGGATCACAATTTCAAGGTCACTCTCAACTACAAGTCAAATTTGAGAGTAGCGTGAGCCACAAAAGAACCTGTCATAAAGACACAAACAAAATCCCAAAGAGAACACTGTCTTATCGTTCCCTAACAAAAACGTAATGACCAGGCGTAGTCATTACATATTGGCAGAAAATAATTATCTTAAATGTGCACAACACTCTATTTTTAAAGCCTAGGCAGTAAGCATGGGATGTGTGTGTGTGTGTGTGTGTGTGTGTGTGTGTGTGTGTGTGTGTGTGGCTGCAGTTGAAGGTAAGTTGCTTAAGCATGACTAACTT